GATAGGTAGACAGATAGACAGACGGGTAGGTAGGTAGGTAGACAGGTAGGTAGCTAGACAGGTAGGTAGACAGACGGGTAGATAGACAGATAGGTAGGTAGGTAGACAGACAGACAGGCAGACAGGTAGATAGACAGACATGTAGGTAGGTAGACAGACAGGTAGGTGGATAGGTAGACAGGTAGTTGGTAGATAGACAGATAGGTAGACAGACAGGTAGGTAGTAGACAGGTAGGTAGCTAGGTAGGTAGATAGACAGATAGGTAGGTAGCTAGACAGAGAGACAGGAGGACAGGGAGTTGGTAGATAGACAGCTAGTTGGTAGACAGACAGGTAGGTAGATAGGTAGGTAGGTAAATAGACAGGCAGAAAGACAGACAGACAAACAGGTAGGTAGACGGATAGATAGACAGACAGACAGGTAGGTAGATAGACAGGAAGGTAGACAGACAGATAGACAGACAGAAAGACAGACAGGGAGGGAGGCAGACAGACAGGGAGGGAGGGAGATAGACAGACAGATAGATAGACAGACAGGTAGGCAGATAGACAGACAGGTAGGCAGACAGGCAGGCAGGTAGGTAGACAGACAGATAGGTAGGTAGGTAGATAGACAGAGAGACAGGTAGACAGACAGGTAGGTAGACATGTAGTCAGACAGGTAGTAGACAGACAGACAGGTAGACAGACAGGTAGGTGGATAGGTAGACAGGTAGTTGGTAGATAGACAGGTAGTTGGTAGATAGACAGATAGGTAGGTAGCTAGACAGAGAGACAGGAGGACAGGGAGTTGGTAGATAGACAGCTAGGTAGACAGACAGGGAGGGAGGCAGACAGACAGGGAGGGAGATAGACAGACAGGGAGGGAGGGAGATAGACAGACAGATAGACAGGTAGGTAGATAGACAGGTAGGGAGATAGACAGATAGGGAGGTAGATAGACAGACAGGGAGGTAGACAGACAGGTAGGGAAGGAGATAGACAGACAGATAGATAGACAGACAGGTAGATATGTAGACAGACAGACAGGTAGGAAGATAGACAGACAGGTAGATATGTAGACAGACAGACAGGTAGGAAGATAGACAGACAGGGAGGTAGACAGACAGGTAGGGAGATAGACAGAGAGACAGGGAGACAGGGAGTTGGTAGATAGACAGCTAGTTGGTAGACAGACAGGTAGGTAGGCAGACAGATAGACAGACAGAAAGACAGACAGGGAGGGAGGCAGACAGACAGGGAGGGAGGCAGACAGACAGGGAGGGAGACAGACAGACAGACAGGGAGGGAGGGAGATAGACAGACAGATAGACAGGTAGGTAGATAGGTAGGTAGACAGACAGACATGTAGGTAGCTAGACAGACAGACAGGTAGGGAGACAGACAGGTAGGTGGATAGGGAGACAGGTAGTTGGTAGATAGACAGGTAGTTGGTAGATAGACAGGTAGGTAGACAGGCAGGCAGGTAGGTAGACAGGAAGGCAGGCAGACAGACAGGCAGGTAGGTAGGCAGACAGATAGACAGACAGACAGACAGTTAGGTAGACAGACAGACAGGTAGGAAGATAGACAGACAGGGAGGGAGACAGACAGGCAGGGAGGGAGACAGACAGATAGACAGATAGATAGACATACAGGTAGGTAGGTAGATAGATAGGAAGGTAGGTAGATAGACAGGAAGGTAGACAGACAGATAGACAGGTAGGTAGATAGGTAGATAGACAGACAGGGAGGGAGGCAGACAGACAGGGAGGGAGGCAGACAGACAGGGAGGGAGGGAGATAGACAGACAGGTAGATATGTAGACAGACAGACAGGTAGATAGATAGACAGACAGACAGGTAGACAGACAGAAAGGTAGACAGGCAGACAGGTAGATAGACAGACATGTAGGTAGCTAGACAGACAGACAGGTAGGGAGACAGACAGACAGGTAGGAAGATAGACAGACAGGTAGATAGATAGACAGACAGGTAGGCAGACAGGCAGGCAGGTAGGTAGACAGGCAGACAGGTAGACCGACAGACAGTTAGGTAGACAGACAGACAGGTAGGTAGGTAGATAGACAGACAGATAGACAGACAGACAAACAGGTAGGTAGACGGATAGATAGACAGACAGACAGGGTAGACAGACAGGTAGACAGGTAGTTAGATAGGTAGACAGACAGGTAGACAGGGAGTTGGTAGATAGACAGCTAGGTAGACAGACAGGGAGGGAGATAGACAGACAGGGAGGGAGATAGACAGACAGATAGACAGACAGATAGACAGACAGAAAGACAGACAGGGAGGGAGGGAGATAGACAGACAGATAGACAGACAGGTAGGGAGATAGACAGACAGGGAGGGAGGGAGATAGACAGACAGATAGACAGACAGGTAGGTAGGGAGATAGACAGACAGATAGACAGACAGGTAGGGAGATAGACAGACAGATAGACAGACAGGTAGGGAGGGAGATAGACAGACAGGGAGGGAGATAGACAGACAGATAGACAGACAGGTAGGGAGACAGGTAGATAGGTAGGTGGATAGATGTGTTTCTATCTACCTAATAATAACAGTTATCATATAGCAATATACTGCAATGCTACCATGGTATTTTCATTAGTTAAAATCCCAGTCATGAGTCCAGTCTTGAATTCGATCCTGCAGAGTAATAATGATCTACAAAGTCCTCAGATTTTGTCAAAGATGGCGGCCGTCAGATCAGCCTTTCTGCATGCAGCTGCTGAATCAAACTCTCCCTTGAGAAAATCGCCAGGGGCCGTTTAAAAAAAAAAAAAACTACATAAAAGATGTTGGTCAAGCCCAGGTATGGGATATTTGCTGCTCACTTCCTCCCAGTTGAGCCTGGCAGCGATTCAACTGACACTTTGGTCGTTGCTCATTCGGGCTCTGTGTGCCTGCCCTGCATTTGAACACAATCTACTCTGCAATCTGAGTAACTGGCTCCTCCCGGCATGCCCACTTGTGCCAAATGAAACCATAAGTCTGCGTGACAGCGCCCTCTCTACCCCTCTTTTTGTAATTGTTCATAACAGCTGAATGCAAAAACAAACTCTTCGCTGCAGCTGAGGAGAAACACAGTTTATGCCAAAACCCACGGTGCTGCGGCCTTGTTCTGCTCAGTGTGGGCTGCAGTCCATCACATGGAGCCACACGGAGAAAAAGGAATGCTGCCTTTTGTCCTGCAATGATTTCCTCATCAACCCAGCAGTGGGAGGGAGGGGTGGTGTGGAGTGGGGGGGGCGAAGAAAATCACTGTCTCCTAAAATCACAAGCCTTTGAAAACCTGCCTGAAGGTTGAGGTACAGCCGTATGGACGAGCAGGGACCTGTGACATGGAACCAAACAGATGTTTCCGGAAACCCCTCGGCAGACGCAGTTGGCTGGAGAAGAAGTACCTGGACACAGGAAAGGCATAGGGTTAACTGAGCAACATTTCTAATCTAATGTAATCTAACTTGATCATATTGAATGGAATAAAATCAAACCTGATCAGATTATATTAGATTATTTTATGGTTTATTTGAACCTGATCAGATTAGATCATATTATATTAGATTATTTTATGGTTTATTCCATAAATAAACTCCATCCATCCGCCCAAATCACAATGCACCATAAAAACTCCCCAAACCTTCGTGCAGGTGGTGAGTCCACTGGAAGGTATTAACCACCCTAACCGGGATTCGAACTTGCCCAGGAGGTGAACCCTGGGGTTCCACACCAATGACAGAGACATTGCCTCTGGGCCAAAGCGCCACATAAATCCTCTCCTTGAATGTAAATTATAAAAACAACTTCATAACGACATAACCAGACTAATTAAAGCCATGGAAAGGTCTGTTGTTAATCTTGACCAATCACAGAAAAGATCATAATTGGCTACTTGTCTAATATTAGCAATTTCTCCAGTTTAAGAGGAATCTGAGATGCAATGAGAAAATTCAGGAACAAGAAAAGAAAATATAAAGTAACAGTTGTAAAGTGGTGCCTTCACATAATTGACCAATCACAGTGGAGCTCAGACAAAGAGGCAGACATAGTAATAGTTAGGATTAGCAACCACAGCCTCTGTTTCAAAGTAACTAAATTTGGGAATAACGTTAGAAGTTAACATTGTGGTTGGCAAGAAAAACGAATGTCTTTTCATTCAATGCACACGTCAGACGTAGCAGACGCATCTTTTACCTTAAGCACACTATATATTTAACATTTAAAATGTTTTATTCCAAAAGCTGTCACAGCCAATTGTGTTTTTTTTTTTTTTCCTTTTCTGCCAGAACCTTCTCTTCAGCTCTCTGTGGCTTATTCTACTGTGGCATTTAGAAAGAAAAGAACTTACCTCTCTTTCTTTTTTTCATTTTCCACCTCCTTCTCGACTTGAGAGCTGTCTGACTATCCGTCAGGGAAAGAAAGCTGCCGTCCTTGAGGGCAAAAAAATAAAAAATAAAAAAATAAATAAAATAAATAGAATCTACATTTCAATCATAACGGGTTCAGTGTGAAAATGCATTTCAGTCCATTGATATACAGTAAATGTTGTGGAAAAATAGCTTTTTGAACAGCTTTAACGATACTTACTTTATCCCCTTCTTCACTGTCTGTCCGTCTTCTTCCTTCTCCAACATTTCAAATAAGATCTGACGATCAATCTGAAGCTGTTATTAGCCACCAGGTGGCCAAAACCGGGTAGAGATGCCACTGTCTTGAATTGTGCTAATAACACCATCTGTTGGTACTTCTGTTTATACCAGTGTAAAATCCCGTCCAACAACAGCAGCAAGAAAACACAGGGATGGTGGGAGAACAGAAGTGAAGCGTCTTGATTGTCAAAGACGCCTTTTGTTGTCCTTTTGAAACCAATAACGCTGATGTTCCAATCTAATGTGTCCATTTCTGGATTGATTTCATGGTTTCCTCGTGTTTTTCAGACAACACCGCCTCCATATTGACAAAGCGGGGCGGATTCAAGAGACGAGAGCAGCCCGTGTACCAGCTGCCGGTGTTGATCGTGGACAGTGGGAGCCCGGCCCTCAGCAGCACAAACACGCTGTCCGTACGGGTGTGCGACTGCGACTCGGACGGAGTGGCCTTGTCCTGCGGAGCAGTGGCGTACACGGCGACCGGCCTGAGCACGGGCGCCCTCTTGGCTATTTTAGGCTGCATCCTAACCCTCCTGGGTAAGATCCGTGTAACCTCGCGTCCCGAACCTGTGAGATACGACATTTTATTGATGTTTTATTTACCTTTTAACAGTACAAGTGAGAGTTTGCTTTTTGTTTTTTTATAGCCAATGTTGTTAAGGTATTTATATCCGTCACTTCAGTAAAAGCAACCAAACCGTAGCATTGAAAACAGCTGCTTACTTTGGGGTAGGGTTGAAGCCATTCCAATGAAATACATCCTGGAGCCAAAATCCCAGGTCAACTTAAGACCTTTCTCCTTGTAGTTTGAAGACTCCAGGCTCTCCAGCGTCCCCTAGAGTCTGGGAATTCATCTTGTGTGTAGAGTTGTTATTTTTATCTTGGCTGAATCCAAGTCCTTGGTGTTAGCATCGACGGCTGGAGTCCAGACGAGTCCTAGATTTGATAAAACAAAACGATAGAACTATTAACTACTGTATATACTACAGTATATTATAGACATGTTTTAACAAAAGATTTAACAAAAACCATTTAGTGCATAACAACCAATGATGAGTAGAAATATACCAAAACATTTGGCCAGTTTTCCATAATTTAACATTGAAAATATATAGAGGGAAAATGACTGAAACTAAATGTGAAAGAATTTGAATGAGAATGACATTGAGCAAAAACTGTGATGAATGCAAAGTAATTCCCATTAGAACTGAAAGAAAAACATATTAAACATAAAATATGTTGCAGTGCGTTGGCTTTAAAATGTTAGCCAAGATGGCCAAATGAAGATAAACCATTAATATCCTGAAGATTTTAAACAAAAAATTCTAAAATATACAGATTTAAAAAAAATAGCCAATAAATTAAAACATTAGATGACAAATGCATTGCTAAATGTTTGACATAAATTGCAAAAATGTTGATAAAAACCACTAATTATATTTACGTAACTGAGTTATGCTCAGAAAAACATACAGTAGGTCAAAAAATTAATTGCTCTTGAAATGATTGGGAATGCCTTCGAGAAGCAAAATGCCAAGGATGTTTTGTTTACTTTTTATGGTGGTGGTCTACGTAAATAATTTAGATTTTAAAAAGTCAGTGTCACGACCACGGCTGACACCAAGAGCAGAACTCAGTCAGTGAGTGCAAACAGGTACAGTTCTGGGGTCGGAGGCGACAGCAATAAAAGCGGAGAAATCAAATCCCAGAGAAAAGCCGCAGCAGAATCGGCATTAAACAACAAGAACACACACAAACACAGACGGAGTCAAAGCACAAAGCTGTCCAAGGACATATTAGTGCAAACAGCAGATATTTAGCCTGGCTAAGTGAAGCAGTGATGTTCTGGATCTAAGGAAAAAAAAAAAAAAACCTTCAGGGAGGAACTGAAGTCACTGCGAGAAACTTCCTGTCAGACGTGTGTTTGTGGTCCAGACCAATTAGCCGTAGCGCCTAATATGATAAATGACATCAGAGTCTGCAGGAAGTTGGACACAGGATACCAGAGCGCGCGCGCGTGTGTGTGTGTGTACATATGCTCCTGTGTATTGTTCAGGTTGAATCGTTTGCATATTAGCCGTTTTAATTCGCCGTGTTCTATATAGACGAGCGTGTCTGTGCGGCAGCCGTTGATTATCTCAGGTGGGCTGGAAACATGTTGTACAACAGAAATGTGTCAGTGGTTTAAAGTAAATAAGGCTAAGGTGTGGAACTGAAGTTGGCACAATTTCCCAAAGCGCACACCAAAAATCTATAATCTGTACTTTAGTTACAAAGCTGGAGAGTCTTCTTCATTGACAAGTGTATAAAAACTATTTTCTTAGTGGTTCCCAAATGACTGGTTATATTTACAGCAGCCAAAGACTCAGTTACTGTCAGGGTCATGGATATTTCTTTTGGAGAATTAGGTATTTTTTATACCCATCAGTGCTGTAAGAGCTTTACATTACATTACATTATATTACAATACATTTAGCAGACGCTTTTATCTAAACCCTGCCTACTTTAAAACTGCTTTTGAAATTATTATGACGACTTGGACAACTGAGAATATCCACAAATACAGACGTTAGCAACTGAATCTCACAAAGTTTCTTAAAAAATGAAAATGTGCCATAAAAACTGCAAAAAATATGGTTATATTATAATAATAATTATTATTATGTGGTATAGTGAAAGCCACTTATGAAAGGTGAGAAATGTAAAAAAAGACCAGCTAGCGAAGCTAAGCTACAGTCTTTGTGATTTACTCAAGGGTGATATTACTGAAAAAAAATAGAACAAATGAAATGAGGGTAAATCATAGTCATTATTTTGTTCTGTACAGAAGTCATAGTTTGCCATCTCCACAAAGCTAGGCGCTAAGAGCACTCTAAGAACGGAGGCCGGTGATCGTACAGTGGTTCGCGGCGACATTTACAGCTTCACTCCTCACCCTGCAGACTATAGCTGCTGCCCTCGCCTCCTGACTTTCTTTTTTCTTTTTCAAACTGTTTTTAATTCAAAACATTTCTTTTCTTTCTTCAGCCTAGTTTTATATTCTGATCTCAGTGCCGAACGTTCATGTCAGACTCCGAGTGCAGCAGCAAACCTTTCCATTGATTTTCTTTTCCCTCTTGATAAAGTGAATATTCATCCGTGCTATTTATTCCTGTTTGGATTCAAGTTCAGACCTGAGTCTGACTGTGATTCAAACACATCACCTCACACAACAAACCGCTGTTTACCTCTATATTTCACAGGCCATTCACACACATTTGCTTACGCACTAGCATTCATCAAACCAGAGTGTCTGGGAGCAGCAGCTCAACATCACAGCTGCATCTCCAGGTCCTGCTCAGGTCAAACCAGCAGGGAGGTATCTTCCCCTCATATTTCCTGTCTGGTAAATACATGTGACCTCGGTCGCCTCGCTCTGAATAACAGCAGGGGTGTTTACAAGTAAAACACCTCTCAAATCCTTCCAGCAGGATCAATTAATAATAGTCCTCACACCTGCTGCTTGGACCAGCGTTCTAGAGAATTTCTTCCCTTCTTTTCCTTTTGTTTTTGCAGCCACTAGATGCAAATTTATATTCTACAGAATTTTTCTCCAACAAAAGATTGAATACCGAGTCAGCCGATGATGAAGCATTAGCTAGGACTGCACAATTACTTCAACAAATAATTATTATTATAAATGTACAAATTATAGTTTTCTGTCGTACTAAACGATCAAACCAGCCAGAGGTGCTTTTAAAATATACAAGTAGCGTAAAGTACCAGATGGCTCATGTACTTCGTATACTTCCTGGAACATTTACAGTAATTTCCAGAGTATTAAGCGAACCAGAACATAGGCTGCATCCACTAAGTTTGCGCACCCCACGCACATATACACACACAGCCATTCACAGACAGACATAAACTACTAGTATAACACACAGTAGCCTACTAGAAAAGTCATTGATCGCTAGCGGTATGAACTTCGTTAAAAATCCATAAATTAGCCGCATCATTATTTAAGCCACAGGGTTCAAAGTGTGTGAAAAAAGTAGCGGCCCATAGTCCAGAAATTACTGTACACTTAATGCTCAAAGTAAATCAAGTCACAAACAGTAGGCTGATTAAATTATGTATAAGAAGTCGGGAGTGGCAGAAACGTATTGATTGCGGTGCAGAACATGAATAAGGACAGCAGGGAAGTGAGAAGGAGTCAGAGTTGAAAGATGGGTTAAACGTAAAAAAAGAAAAAGGCTCGATCAGGAGTCAGCTTTCAGTCCAGGTTCAGATATAAAATAGTGCAGGATTCCAATGTTTGCAGATGACATTTGAATCTTTATATACAACAGGAAGCCGTAGGTAGAGATCCTGATGAAAGGAAACAGTCATTTGTAACAGTTTTCACTTCTCCTTTCCGCTGTCTCCTTTTTCTGAGAGGAGACGACGACGAGGGTGAAATGAAGTCAGATAATCAGCTGTCACAACGCAGTTTTAACTTACTATCAAAAATATCCCAGTCCTCTTGGTCAAAGAATCAGAAAAGGTTGCTATATATTCTATATCTATTTTTGTCGTTAAAGAAAAAAAAAAGTCAGTCATTTCGGTTGATTGGTCACATTTTTTTTTTTGCAAAGTATTCACAGTAAATGGTTCTACTCTCCAGCCTATTTTGCCAATTATAAGTATGTGTCATTTATATGACAGGGAGCCCCTCCTGCACAGCACACTAAAAAATAGAGTGCCGAGCTGAGGCGGTGATGATGTGCATTTTTATTGAGAGGAAGCAGCGCCTGAAGACAGCCGGTGACTCGATGATGAAGTTCTGGATTTTAGCTCCTTACCTGGGAGCAGAGAGTGTGCCGAACACGCGGCTGTGTTTTATTAACACGATTATAATATTTCACAGCGGTCATGGTATGGATGTTGTGCACGGGATGCTGCGTTTCCAAGGACGGGACACTGTTTTCTGGTGTCAAGCCATATGTTGAGGCGTTAGGGGGAAGAGGATCTTGTAAATGTGAATTCATTAACATAGCCTTAAAGATGAGGCAGCTCGGAGGCGTCACCTCCAGGCTGTGTTATTGCTCGTAAAAACCCACAGACAAAGCTTTTTTTTTCCTCCCTGTGAGGCAGAGTCGTAGTTTAATGCTCAGGCGGTTTTCATGGAAAGCCGAGGAGGATTTTAGCAGCGTTTACAATGAGTGGAATGAGTCCTTTGATAGGGGTCAAACTTTGCTTCTTTTTTTTTTTTTTCCATTTTGAGTCTCCTTGAAGTTTGTCTCCCTTTTATTGTGACACCAAATACTTTTTGTGATAAATGGAAACTTCAAAAGACTAACCGGGGGAGGAGGCTGGAGAAAGCATGTGTGGCCGCAGGATCCATGAACCTGCCCTCGCTAATGAAAGCTGGCTCTATTCTGCTCGGCGTAGCCTCAGGCCACAGGCTTAGAACTAATGGCCCCGCAGTTTAATATACCTCCATGTTGTCTTTGTCGGCCTTTCTGTGTGAGTTTGTGTCCTCAGCTGTCCCCGGCGCTCTGTTGTGGCTCAATTGG